ATAATAAATTTACATAATTATTATATATATATATATACAGTTTAATTTACCAAATTCCGTGTAACCATGAATAAATATATATTTATATTTATTTATATATACATGTTGTATATATATATATTTTTTTAGAAAAAAAAATCCTATAAATTAAAGTGTTTATCTTTTTTCTCAATTTTTAAAAAAAAACTTCAAACAAAGAGTAAATAAATAATTTACTTATACGTTATTATATATATCAATAATAACAACAACAACAACTATTACAAAGAAAAAAAATATTTTTTTTTCAAACAAAAAAAATAATATCATATAAAAAACATAACGTTTATATACAACTTTTTTATTTTTTTTTTTAGAAAAAATAACTTTTAAAAAATATATTTTCAAATAACAAACTCTCATTCAAACCAAAATTTCAAACATGAAAGCTTCAAAAATTCTTTCAGGTCGTAAAAATCGTAGAATCCATAATCCATTCAAAAGACGCAACAGTAATAGCAGTAGTCACCATAATCATCAACACCACCATCACAACAACCACCATAATCAAATATTATACAGCACTTTTGGCGGTCTACCACACGATTTTGAATTTGAATTTTCATCTTCAATAACCGAACCAACAACTGTTTGCTCGTCAAGAAGAAGTTCAATAGTTTATTGTGATCAATTAATTCTTAACAATAACAACAATGGATTAAATAACAATAACAAAAATAATGTTAACATCACTAATGTTAATTATTACTCACAATCACCCTTACCATATCCTTCACAACAACAACATCAACAACATCATCATCAACCTTCCCCCCCTAAGCTAATTATATATTTTCCGAACAACAATTTTTTAACATCAATTTTGTATGATTTTTTCTCCCATCACACACGCATCAATCAATATTTTCTTTCATTTGCAAAAAGCAAATATGAAAATAATTTTAAAAAATACAAAAACAAAAAACAAAAAAAAATTAATTTAAAAATAAATAAAAAAAACAATAAAAACTTTTCCTTGTAAAAAAAAAAAAAATGTGTTAAAAATGTGTTGAATTGTCATAAAAAATGTGTTTGTCATAGTAAACCCATGTGTAAAAAATATCTAAACCACATGAACCACATGAATGCATTTATTTATTATTTTTGATTCCTTCCTGAGTAAATGATGGAAATTAGAATGGATGAATTCAAAAACATAAATAAATAAAAAATAAACCAATCAAATAAATAATAAACTAGTTTGAATAATTTATAATTTACGCAACAAATTTATTGGTTCCTTTTTTTTTAATAAATTTCTTTGCTCCTCCAAAATCCTTCTCCTTATAATAATAATAATAATAATACTAAAGCAATGCCATCATGCATTCGGTTGGTTCCGTTGGATTTCAAACATATTAATAATATTATATTATTAAGAAAATTTGGAAAACTAGAACAAAAAGAATAGTTGCACAAAATGCCATGTTTCCTGAAATTTTCATATCATTATTACTATCATTATCCAATTATCATTATTATCATCACCATTATCATTTTTATTTTTCCTGTTTGCTTTATTTTTTTCCATTAGGATAAATTAAACGAAATAAGTTATTGTTTTCTTGAACTTCTCGCCCGCACATTTTCTCGCATTTTTTTTCTTCAATTATTAAAATATACGCCTATTACTATATTGTTATAAATTTATTATAGGGAAAATTAAAATAAATTGTTGTTTTTTGGAGAAGTGGAAGATAAAATAAACAAAATAATAATAATAAATAAAGACTTAAACATGAACCGAGAAATAAATAAAAAAATGTTCTATATAACACTAAATTTATCATTTTTGATATCCGTTTTTTCCGATACGGAAAATTTTTTTTTCCATTCCTCTTTTTTTTTTTGGCAATTGAGATTTTAGAGTATTCTATAGTGGCTTATTATACAGAATGGATAGTCGTCAATTAAGTATGGTATCATCGTCAAGTAGGTTGCAAATATGGTAAATCTCACCACCTCAGCCTAACACGCAGGTGTTTTATGCCACAATTGAATTTTCATTATACGGGTTTTTTTTTATTTTAATTCACGCAGAAATAAAAATTGGTATTGCGCCCACAAGAATGTGTCACAATGGGTTTGTGCCAGCCACAATTGAATTTCTCATTTTATGGCAAAGTAAAAAAAAATTGTATTACGTCAACAAGGGAGAGCAATTGATTTATTTGTCTGTCCTTTAGAGAACATTTTCCATAACTCTATATATTAATAACATGCGTTTTTCAAAACTTGGACTTTGAGGGGGGTTTTCTCCATAATATAATAATATATGCACGTCCCCTATTGTGGAATGTATTTTCTTTTTTTATTTTTCTATTTTGTTCTATTTATATACGACAGGCATAATTAATATTAATTACTGAAGGTCTTGCTTGATCAAATAATAAAAGTCAAAACTAATGCGGAGGTAGGGGTTTGATGCTTTTTGTTCGCGGGGATTAATTTTTCTCAAATATGTCACCGGTTGGTGTATCACCACATTCTAGAGATTACATAATGGTTTCA